TTTCGTTGTAAAGGTTGTGTAATCCGCAATCTCGCAAAACTGTACATACCTCTGTAACGTTATTTTACAAATATCAATATCGCTGTATAAAACTTTGATGCAAGAAAGTTTTCGCAAATAAACCGCATATCTTTACATGCATGAAATACATAGCCGAAGGTTTGCAAATTTTACATAAATATTTATCTATATTTACTGTGCTTGTAACTTTTTGATAAACCGCGGTCTCTCAGAACTCCCAACACTACTATAAAGACGTTTTGTAAATTCTTATTTTTGATTACCTTTAATATCCTGGATAGCATATGCATATATAATGCTTATCCTTACATATCTTTAGAGTATGCGTAAAGCGCTGGAAATATAATTGTTATATTTCACATTCTATGAGAACTTCTCTATGTTCATTACTTTAGGAATATTTAGTCAGACATCAGGCGCTTCCCAGATATACCTTTTTTTTTGTTTTTGTCCTCTGATTATATAGTTAACGTATTTTGTCGGGTACTTGATGACAGATAGCGTTTGACGTCTTTAGCCGAACAGTTTTATCTTTTTTACTTTATTCAATTCCTGTGTGCTGGTTCATATTCTGGACGCCAGTCTTTGCTCCTTTCAATTGGAATTACGGATAACAAAAACAAAATATGAAATTGAGAAACGGAAAAATACTAAATACTAAACTCGGTAAAATGGTATCTACACGTCTCAATCTTCAAAATCGCTTATCTAAAAATACTACAATCGCCTACGTTTTTAATAATAAAAATCGTGGTTACCCTTCTATCGATAAGTGTCATACCAACAAATGACTTACATGTCCCCGTCTTTCCACCAACAATACGGTAAGGTCCACGTTTAACGGTCGCACATTTTCTATAAGTTTTGATATTAACTGATATTAATTGAAAAACTAACAGTATTATCTTTTTACTCACATGAAACAAACCGGGATGCGGTATTCAGTACGTAGGTGAAACTGGACGCTATTTATCTAAACACACGCAAGAACACCTTTATCGTTTTAAAAGACCCCATAAATTCAAAAGTATCATTTATCAACACCTTAAGAAGCACAATCATCCTATTAAATATTTAACAGTTCAGCCTTTAGAAGTAGTAAATAAAGAGCCTGGGGAATCTCATTCAAAGTTTGTACGATCACGGAAAATAATTGAATTAAATTGGAATAAAAAATTACAGACAGTCTATCCTCTCGGTCTTAAAGATAATATCATGGGAATTGGTAATATATCAAGAACCGATTCTGTTAACATTTTGGATATAGTTTCTAAAATTGTTCGTAAAGACCGTACTCATGGGCGTAGAATAAATCGCAATCAAAGAAAGTTTTGTACCAACAATACAAATATTTCGGACCTAATTTCTATTTAAAAAAGCAACGGCAGACATTATCTGTTAACCAAGCTCTGTTCTTTACCTGTTAATAAATTACACCAAATTTTAGAGGATTGCAACACAATTCCATACTGCAGTCCTAATTATGAAATCGTCCAAATTATAATTGCATATTGTTATTCTAAACTGTATCCCAAAATTGATCGCCCTGAAGATCATAAAAAACATTTTATTAAAATCAAATATGTGACTGCGACTGACAAAAAGGGCCCAGATGCGGCATTTACGATTTCGTATTATGACGTCGTAAAGTTGACGTTGTCAAATCTAAAGGAGCACCTGTATTTCGTAATTACCGATTTGCAATTAGGTTTTGAAAAGGGTTGAAAATAGACTGAACTTTTGATACTTATAAAATTGTATAATATTTCCACATCAATTATTGAAAAATATTTATTTTGATTACCTTGAAATGCATAACATGGAGCTTAAACCAGTCACAAAACTTTTAATTGTCCCCCTTTGTATTTACATTGGATACAAAAGTACAAATGGCGGTCTTAGTATAAAACAGATAAAATGAGCCAGGAAAGTCAATTTTCGGCAAGTCAGAGTAGCGTACCGCCTGAGATTTTGCAGAACTAAGATGATGATTTCATAAATGAGTTGAATAGGGTCGACGAATTATATTTTTACGATTACGAATGCCCCGAGTCCGAGATTAATTCTGATGTTGAAAACTTTGAATCTGACAATGACGACGACAGTGTCGATCAGTTAGTCGAACCTTCAGATGACGATACACGAGAATATATTGCACAGGCCCGTCTTTGAAATGACACTTGCGGGTGCAAAGGATTTTATGGCGCACCTTGTAGCCAAATCATTGAAATGGACGCCGTTATTAAATTACGAGAGCACTGCAAGGAACTTTCTAAAGATGAACTTGATATGATAATCAAGGCTGAATTATTTGCACACAGGCGTTCTGGTAGTGTCACTGAAGCCAAGAAACACAAAATTGAAGAACAGGAACGCCCATACCAGAAGTTTTATTTCAAAGGAAAGCGAGTATGTAGACAGACATTTTGTTTTATTCATGGGGTTGTAAAGAAGAAATTACTTTCTATTGCAAAATCACTCGATGTAGATGGACTATCTCCTAGAACTCATGCTAGCACAGGGAAACCTCCAAAACATGCCCTTACATTTCAGGATTCAGAAAGGATAAAAACATTTCATTTCCATCAAATATGCTACTGATAATGCTTTGCCTCTACCAGGCAGGTTGCCTAATTACAAGAACCATCAAGTTTTGTTGTTACCATCTGACAAACATTCAGTTGACATTCATGCAGAATATGAAAAACTTGCAATAAATATGAAGTATAGAAGTGTGAGTGTAAGAACATTTCAAAGACAGTGGCATGATTTATGTCCCAATATTGTAGTTACAAAGCCATGTACTGATTTATGCCAAAAGTGTCAGGAATATGCTGGTAAAATATCTAATAGTGGAAATCTGTCTGAAGAGGAAAAACAGTTATTGTTAAATCAATATAATATCCATGTACAACTCGCAAAAGAACAAAGAGACTACTACCGTGAGCAGGTTAAACTAAGCAAACAAAACTACATGGACTTGCCAGTTGCACTGAAACAATCAGGTAATATATATATATATATATATATATAAAGGTTAAATAATTTATTCCACCAAAGTATGACTTCTGTATTAATATTACATATCTCTTTATGTCTCTCCTAAATATCTGTTCATATTCATAAAACATACTAAGTCTTTTGAATATTTTTATTATTATTTATATAATATGTTTCAAGTCCTTACCAAATAGTCAGTGCATGCATTTTGTTCATATGTAGAACAGTAGTATATATACATGTAAGTGGTGAACTTTATTCCATACTTTTGTTCACATGTGACAGTACATTCAGTTGTATATAGTTGGTCAACTTTATTCCAGACAACCATTAATCATATTATTCATGTTAATAACATACACAAATTCACAATATTGACACTTCTACTTCTAAATATACATGTACATGTCTCAATATACAATGTTCATGTATCCTTTTTGGACTCAATATTACTTGGATTAGATAAATTAGATTCAATTGTACTACCATGACTGCAGGAATATTTTTTTTAATAAATGGCAAAAGCTTTTATTGAACAGGCTATCCTCAATCTTATGTATTTAGTTGTTAACTCTTACATGTGTTTTACAGGAAATTCTCCACAGTCAGTACATACCACTCTACACTATTCCTGGGATTATGCCCAACAAGTTCACTTTCCTCACCATGTTCAGCAAGTGGGACCCATTTATTTCAAAACACCAAGAAAATGTAATGTGTTTGGAGTCTGCTCAGAAGGATCTGGTAATTTTTTATTGGTTTTTTATTACATTATATATATGCTTTTGATAGTTAGAAACAGTAGCATGAACATGTGATTTATTATAATTTATATTTTTAAAACAGACTGATGGACTTAATCACTGGACATACAAATATATATTTGATGTACATGATCATTGACTTGTAAGGTGCAGTTTTCAAGATCAATATAACTCTGATATAAATAACTATACCTTTATGATTCATGTATGTATTGAGTTAAGTTACATACATGTATATGGAAATAGATTTCTTAAACATGATTTATCTTTATTTATTTACCTCTGTTGCACACATCATGTACTAGTACATGTTAAATTGTACTTTGTGAATATACTATTGTATTAGATATGTATGCTTTGTTTTAAATGTTTTCAAAATGGCTAATGGTAAATTTTGTATGTAATGTTTTGTAGGAAAACAAAGTTTCTATTTGATTGATGAAGCTGAAAGTATTGGCAAAGGAGCACACTCTGTTGTTAGTATGGTGCATCACTATTTCAACAAATTTGGTCATGGAGAGACTGATGCTAAAATCCATTTTGACAACTGGACTGGTCAGAACAAGAATAATGTAGTACTATGGTATGCATTATGGAGAGTAATGACAGGTAACTATTATTTGATTATGTTACATTATTTCACACCGTGTTATATTATATTCAAACTATAACCAAGGCAACAATTTATTGATAAAAGTTTAAAATTCTCTTTTTAAATAAACAATACTGATTTTTGCTATCTGTATTTTTAGATTAAGACATACCACATCTTCTTTTTTTATATAAACAATGTATGCAGAATATGTTATAGTCATAGTTCTGTGATTAGAATCAACATTTCATGTTATCAACATTCAAAAGATTTATTTATTTTAAGTATAGCGCTCCTTCGTTCAATCAAATTAAATAGTGACTTAATAGGCTATTAACGTTAGTTAACGTTTGTGCAACGTAAATAATAGACTATTTAATTTAAGTGTACTTTTAATAGACTATTAACTTTAATAGACGTTTGTGCAACCCAGTCCAGATGTATATATTTTGCATACAATATTTATTTCTAGTATGACAACTTTAGTTACTGGTATCTTGTTAACTTTCTCATTTTGGTATTTGCTTTTTTAAAATAAGTATTTTCTGAAATAGAATTTTTATTTTTGTTTTGCCAGGATTACTCAAAAGCATAGAATACTCAATAATGATTGCAGGACATACCAAGTTTGAGCCTGATTAGCATTTTGGTGTTTGGAAGTTACACTGGAGAAATTCAGCAGCAGAAACATTATCAGAGGTAGATAATAGTAGTTTATATAATAATTAAAACTACAATTTAATATACTAGTACATGTATAAACATTATTACTTGATTTAAGATAGAACTATCAATGTTTTTTTCTAAAATCATTTCAAATAGTCAATATTGTACCTATTCAATATGATCAAAGGGCAATAACTCTTACACATATGAAACCTGGATTAGTTCTTTGGATTAATGACATAAAGTTAGTTTCTTAAAATGTTTTATTTTGTACACAAATTACAAAATGTACTCATAATTGATTCAAGCATAGATAGCATATCCAGGTTTTACCTGAGTTAGTTTCTAAATTTATAGATTTATCTGACTTGCATATTATTGTCATCTGTTTTTGATGTCTGGCTGTATTTTACTGTAAAGTCACCTTTTCAAATTTTCTTTTTTTAAATCTGTATGTATTTGTTAGTACTCTCAAATCATTTATGAAAAGTCTTGCAGTTGATTTATTGTTCTTTGTTTTATTACAGGTAGCTGAAACTGTGACAAGGTCCAGCAGAAATGGACACAACATACCACAAGTTGTAGGAAATATACAAGATCCTGTAATGTTTTATGAATGGAAGCCTTATTTGCAACAGTACTTTAAAACTTTGAAACATATAACTGACTATCATCATTTTTACATGGATTCACAACACCCAGGAGTAGTAACATGCAGAGAAAATGCATCTTCAGAATCATATACATTCAATTTACTGAAATGCAAAACTAAAACTCCACCAGGAGGTGAGCTTCCTCAACCATCTAACATCAAAGGACTTGAACCTGCCAGGCAGTGGTATTTATATGAGCAGATAAGACAGCACTGCTACTCAGATTCAGCTAAGAACATTACATGTCCGAAACCACTGGTTCTTAAAAAGGAAATAGACTTAACACAACAAGACCAACACAATGCCAAATCCAATGGAGGAAGAAAAAAGGCTCTGCTGAACTAAATAAAATGATAAAATATTTCAGTGAAAATTATTTGAATTTTAACACAATGCTTGTTGTACTATTTAAAAATAAAGAGATGTGTTATGATTACCAATGAGACAAGTTTCCACCTAAGTTTAAATAAAGTGGATGTAAGCAATTATAGGCACATGTTTGGCCTTCAACAATGAGAAAACCCATACTGTATAGTCAGTTATGAAGCAGTTCAATTGAGAAAAGTAAAGGACTAATTAAAAACAAAACAATTTACCAAAAAAAATATGGCAGACATGAACCAATAACCTGTACATACAAAATTAATGAAGTAAACAAATTAAGCAATTCTATGATTACTAGAAATGACCTATTACTAAAAAGTCAAACTCAAAGTGGATGTTGTGTAAGCTTCCATGAGACAATCACCAGAAAAAAATGAACTATTTCAAAATAAAAATGTATTTTGAAATTATTTTACTCTATCAAGGCAAATAATTGTTATTTTAGTAAATAATGGCACAAAAAATATCCCATATCGGATGGTGAGGATTGGGTTTACAGAATAGAGAAAAATGGGCAAAAAGAAAATAAAAGGACCAAAAAGATAAAGGATAGAAAATACAATGTACTGGGCGAAAAGTATTAACAAAATTGAAATGAAGGACCCACCATCCAGACCCTCATAGCCTATATACTTATCTATTATAAAAAGAAAACATTTGTTTCTTCTTTTATATACATGTACTTTGAAATTTAAAGTTCTCTAAGAGTTAAAGTTCATCACACAATCTGAAAAAAATTAGAAAAATTAAAAAAATTTAAAAAAATTGGTTGCCATGGTCATGATGGTAACCGATTTAATAGTTCAAAATATATATCAGTTAGAATAAATCATGCTTTTTCAAATTATTTGACAAACATTAAACATAAACATGATAAACTTAAGGTGTCTAATTATAGAATGAACAATTTTGGAAGAATACACATTTACAAGAAAAAGTCTTGAGTTTTTCGAATGATATCTTCAATTTGTCAATTTATTTCCAAGATACATGTAAGTTACGAATCATGAAATGTTTTTTTCTCAGAAACTACTTGTGCTATCCCCTTGAAATTTTTACAGAATGTTATTTATGATAATTAGGCTCCAAAAATGCAAAAAAATCAAAATACGTATTTTTCTCATCTGGACACATTTTCACAGTCATGGTCACATATGTCAATAAAGGTTTTGATTTTGTAAATATTGCCGGTATTTTTAATGATCATTCTGTTAGAGAACAAACTCCTGACTATTCTGATGATACTGAACATCCTCTTATTTGTTATGTTTACAAAAAATCTACCTGGAAATATGTTTTCAATTATAGTGAAGTGTGTAAAGATGTAAATATCAGTGACAATACACCTACGTCATGAATTACAATAATTCCGAATACATTTATGGCCCAGTTCCCATGTTATAACAGGAGACCTTAACATCGTTCGTGACCAAGAGTTGTAATCATTCCTGAGTAAAGGACCTAAATTTAGTCCCCCGTCAATTATTAATTGGAATGAGTGTCGTAACATCATCCACGACTCACTCCGTACTTACTGCTCGAAATGAATAAAACGAGAAAAAGCTGATAAGAAATCCTTAGATTCCTTTTTTAATTCAGTAATGAACATAGTTGATATACGTATACAACATTTTAAGGAATATTTTACTCCTAACAACAACCATAATAGCCTTATTTCTCGTATCAAACATACGCTAAAAGAACTCGCCAAGGAATTTGTTTTTGTTCCGGCTGATAAGGCTGCTAATAATATCATTATTGTTTGACGTAAATTTTACATTGAGGTTCTGTAAAGGAAAATCACGAATTCACCATCATTTCAACTGACTCCATTTTCGGAAAATGACATCTGTAAAAAACATAAACGTTTAGCTACCTCTTTACAAGCAGAACCAAATACAATGAAAGTTCCAACTATGTACTGGCTTCCGAAGCTGCACAAAACACCTTACAAATATAGATTTATTTCGTCTTCATGCCATTGTTCCACTACTAAACTGTCTGTTCTACTTACTAGCACACTTGGTACAATCAAAAACCTGGTAAAAAGTAAAATCACAAAAATACTGAACTCCGAGGAAAATTAAAAACGGAATGCCCCTAATCAAATTGCAAAATCAAAAGCTCAAACACATCAAGCGAATAGATAACAACTGTAATAAATTGTTCGAATAAGGCCTTTGAAAATAGTGGAATTAATTACTTTTGGAGTGTAAGAAGTTCTTTGGAAGTAGTTGATAAATTGCATGCTTATATTGGTGATTTCGAATCTGTTCAAAGTTTTGATTTTTCTACCCTATATACCACTTTGCCTCATAATCTTATTAAGAAAACATTCACACACCTAATTAAATGGGCATTTAAAAAGTCAGAATGCGAATATATATGTTCAAACTCTTTAATGTCATTTTTTAGTAACATCAAACAAAAGAACTATGTCAATTGGACCTGCTTTGATACTATAACTACCCTTGACTTTTTACTAGATAACATTTTTGTTCACTATGGAGTTTCCGTATATCGTCAAGTTATCGGAATTCCAATGGGGACTAACTGTGCACCAGTTATTGTGGACCTGTTTCTGTTTTGTTATGAGTTACAATTTATGACTAAAAACACAAAGACCCATCGAAACAACATCTGATACAAAAAATTTAATAATACTGTTAGATATTTGGATGATATATTGGCACTCAATAATGACGACTTCAGTATGTACACTAAAAGGTTTATCCTGCTTAACTGACTCCAAATAAAGCTAATACTAACAATGAACACTGCCTTCTCCTGGATCTTGATATCTATATCTTTTACGGGAAGCTTAATACCAAAATTTATGATAAAAGAAATGATTTTTCAGATGGTGACGTTCCCTTGACACCATCTCATGGTGTTTATATATCTCAACTTGTTCGATTCGCTTGTGTATGTAACAACGTATTTGATTTTTAACGAAAAAAAACTCTGTATTACTGAAAAATTATTACTCCAGGGTTTTCAATATCACAAACTAGTCAAAACATTTACTAAATTTTATCATCGGTACAAAGACATCATTCGTAAATATAAATCACCATGCAGAAATCTTATACATTCAGGTTTTTCACATCCAATCTTTTATGATAATATTCTTTACAAAGCACAAAAATGTCGGCATTCACCTGAAAAGCTAACAAAACCTTTAAACAGACTTATTCAGAAGGGATATAGTTACGATACTGTTGTAAGGTTATTAAACATGTTAACGATGACATATTTTGGTATTAATATTGATTCACTCATGGGTCTTTGCATTGGAAATAAACACATTTATTCTAAAACCAGTTGTTGGCATGATACGGATTATGGTCATTTCATATATTTTGTGGTAATCAACTGGTCGTCTATGAATTTCTTTAATTTGATGATATTACACCTGGTTTTTCCGATATCATTTAGGTCAAGTTCGACCAAGGCCGTTCATCCTCGTCAGGTGCTCTAGCCTAATTTATTTTTATTTACTAAAACATTTGATTATAATTACTTTTTAATTGTTATCAATATGTTTCTATCGTGAAACGTATCAAATGCAGTTATATTTTGGGGGCACTTCACCTTGTGAATCTGTAAAAACCCGATTATTTTTATGTCCTTTCTTATTTAATTATACTGTTATTGTTTACAGTGGTTAGTCAAGTGCTCTTTAATGTTCTTGTGCTTCCGATAAGCAATTATTAGCGGTCTGGGAAATAGATCTCTAGCGATTGTGTCATTTTCAATCAACTGCCAATGTTTTCTTATTTGTCTTCCCAATTGTTTGAACGATCTATTCTTTCTAATAGACATTCTTGAAGGTTAAGTCTTTCCTGTACAATTTATTTTATTGTGTAATGACGTGCGTTTGCTGACTCTGTTTGTGGTCATACGAATAAAAATTTCTCTATCGAGATTTTAGTAAAAACAGGTGTGAATTGATATGCTTGTGAAGATAAGATTCAGATTGATATTGAGTTGCTGATAATCTCATATATAGTGAATTTCTTTAAAATATAAATCAATCTCCTTTTTTAGAAGCTTTTTTCCCATTACGTAAAAAGTCTTCTCAGAGATGACATCTATCGGTATGTCTGTTCGGTATATTATGATTGTGAATCGATCTCCTTTTTTGGAAATTTGTTTTCCAATTGCAAAAAAAAGCCTTCTCAGAGATGATATCTTCAAGTATGTCTATTAGGTATATAATGATTGTAAATCACTCTCCTTTTTTAGAAGTTTTTTGCTAATTGCGAAAAAAATCCTCTCAGAGATTGTCTAAAACAAATTACCTTTTATAAATAGTCGTGTCCATGAACCAATCAGGGTTTGACAGTTAAAGATAATATATATAATTTAAAAGTAAATATATGTAAGCGAAACATGCTATATATATGAATCACCTTATCATGCATTAACAAAGCAATAACAGAATAAACCTAAAATTGCATATAACGTATACACAGCGATACATGGAAAATAACTATAGAAACTCGATACGGACAAGAAATAAAATATCCTATAGGCAATAATATTAGTAGGTTTTGCTTAGATTGGTTCATGGACACGATTAGTTATAAAATGATATCCGAAACACCAGGTGTAATATCATCAAATTAAAGAAATTCATAGACGACCAGTTGATTACCACAGATCATTTACGTTGGGAAAATCCTTTCAAATAAATAGATATGTAAAAGTTTATAATAAACCACAGAACAATCAACCGAGAAAAGGTCAAATCAGGTTTTAACAGTTAAAGATAATATATATAATTTAAAGTAAATATATATAAGCGAAACATGCTATATATATGAATCACCAAATCATGCATAAACAAGGCAATAACAGAATAAACCTGCAATTGAAAACAAATATTTAAATGCATATAAAATTGCATATAAAGTATACACAGCGATACATGACAAATCGTTATAGAAACTCGATACAGACAAGAAATATAATCT